CATACTTGTAATTAACCCTATAAAACCTCATGTACACGTCTTGGAGGTGCTCAGAGCTTCGGAGCAGAAGCCCCTCTGAGCCCGCTGGCGTAATAAATCTGAGTACTCCAACCCTCCGAGTGGTGCTTGTTTCTTGGCTGGCCTGTCATTTCCGTAACAATCTTATCGGCACCGACCTTCACCCCCCGCATTGAATGTTCTACGTGTCGCGTGCGTGTTCCTGTTCTCTTCATGCCTACTGCTTAGCCTCAGGGCCCCCGTCACGTCCCATCGGGATCGTCGCAGCCGCCTCCCAACTGGTCTCCCAGCCCCGTGTGGCCCCGTGATCCGCGTGGACGCACAGCCACCTGTGCGATCGAATCATGGCATGACCCTTTTCGGAACATACCAGGGCTTTTTAACTCCAGTACTCAGTCTTGATGAGGGTGCGGTGTGAGGCACTCCCATTCTGCTAATTGGTAGAACCCTCTTGGTAAACAATTTGGCATTATGTATCAAATGTCTTAAGATATTCATACCCACTGACCCGGTATTATTCCCTGTCTGTCAAGAAATGCTAGAAATGAGGACAAATATTTATGAGAAATGATAACTGTTGCATGTTTATTATTGTAAAAAGCTGGAAACTTAAGGAGGCAATAACAGAAGACAAATAAATTATGGCCCATCCATATGATGGAGAATTATTTAGTAATTAAAAATTATATTAGTAAAAATAACGACGTGAGAAAATGTTCATGAGATAATGTTAAATGAAAAAGCAAAATACAGAACTGCTTACAGTATTACTCTAATTTTGTTGATACTATGTCTCTGTATAGGAAAAAGACTGGAAAAAACCCCTCAATATTATCAGTAATTATCACCAGAATAATTTTTTTACTTTTTCTTTAAACATTTCAGTATTTTCTAAATATTTTACAAATAAGTAAGTTTTACTTACAAATTTGGGGGAAAATGCTTATAAAAGATCAACTGAATCACCCATATCTTTTTGAAAAAAGTTCACATTCAAAAGCTTGAAAAAGCGCTTGAGATCATGAAAAGATCAAGGTTTGGAACCCAGAGTTCTGGATCTGAAGTCTCCTTTTCTTACTATTTGGCATGAAAACTTGGGCAAGTTTGTTAACCTCTGTAAGCACAGTTTCATCATCTGAGATCTAGGGATAGAGAGGATGACCAAAGGTGGGAGTGGGAAGAGCTTTTCAAATGGAATCCTCACCTTAGAAATGATCACCAACTTGAAGAACGTCCCTCCTCATATCCAGCAAAAAAGCTGGACTGTAGACACACTCTCCAGACATGAATTACACACAAACACACATGGGCAAAGTCTTGCAGAGGCACCATCTACACATTTGTTAGTAGCTCGATAATGAGACACTTTATTTTTATACTACTCTGCCTTGTTCTCCCAAAATGGGCACCCCCCCTCCATTCCATCTAACTGGCCTCCCAGACTCTGCTCCATCCACCCTTATGAGTGCCCGGCCGCAGTGGACACAGTGCTGCTTACTGTGTTGGTTTCCTGGGGCTGCCTTAACAAAGTACCATGAACTGGGTGGCTTCAAAGGAGAGAAATTTATTCTCTCACCATTCTGAAGGCTAGAAATCTGAAACTGAGGTGTTAGCAGCCCCATCCTCTCTCTGACAGCTCTAGGGAAGAATCCTTCCTTGTCTCTTCTGGTTTCTGCTGGTTCCCGGAATTCTTGATGTTCCTTGGCTTGTGGAAGCATAACTTCAATCTCTGCCTCCGTCTTCAGGTGGCCATCTTCCCTCTGTATCCAAATTTCTCTCTTCTTATAAAGACATCAATCATTGGCTTTAGGGCCCACCTTAATCCAGTATGAGTTCAAGTCATTTTAGCTTGATATCATCTGCAAAGATCTTAGTTCCAAATAAGATCACATTCACAGATTCCAAGTGGATATAACTACTTGGAGGAGAACATTATTCAACACAGTACATTCATCAACCCCTCCCATTGGAAGGAAAAACTGACCATCACTGAGGCTGAGGGGGAGTGTCTGTCCTTCCCTATACCTTGCTAAGTGCTGCCGCTGTGGCCACAAGACCAGGAGTCCCAGAGGAGACCTGTGGTTGCTTTACTCCTAGATTGCAAGGGTGGTCACGAACCTGAAGGTGCAGCCCAGGGAACCAGAACACTGGGTCCACCAACCAAATGCCAGCTCCATTAGCTCACTTGATAGCATTTGACTTTGGGCAAGATATTTTGCCTCCCTAAACCTCAATTCCTTCATTTGTAAAATGGAGCTGATGATAGTTCTATCTCAGAGATGTGGGGATGGATAAAGATATTATCTAGAAAGAACTTGGCACAGTCCCTGACACATAGGAAGTGATATAAAAAGAATAGCTCTTATGATGATGATGATGATGATGATGATGATGATGATTTTGACCTTTGCTACAATGCTATGAAGTGGTTGAGGCATGTCAGGGTGTGTGCAATTTACGGTGAAGCAATTGAGACCTAAGGAAGGTAAGCTACTCGTCTAAGCTCACATCTAATTAAGTGCTGAAGCCACAGCCTACTGGTCCTGTGCTTCTTCAACATCACAGCATCTCATGCTTTTCTAGGGACTGGTCTTCAACAGTCACCTGAAGGTGGGAAATTAGACTTGATGGGGTGGGGCAGGGGTGAGTTATAGTCCTCACACCCTATTCCGGAGAGTTTAAGGCATCTCCTCAAGTCAGAGCTTTACCAGATGATGCATGTACCTTCCCTTTTAGGCCCTGAGCTTCACAGAGACAGACCACACAATCTCCCTACACTCCCTGTGGCAGCCTGGCTCTCTGACCATCCCTGAAGTCCTCAGCAAAGTGTCCATTTCTATAAGCCTCCTAAATCTTAGGACAGGACCTGCAGCATAATCTATGAATTACTCGTCCGTCCTGTTTGGTCCCCTTGTAATGAAATTTCCCAGAGCTACCAGGATTCACTTCTCCAGAAAAAAGTCTTACTCCTCAGGCTCCACTGACTAGACCACCCAGTATTACAGCTGCCATCTTGGTCACAATGCACCAAGACACCCCTCTTCCTAAGGGATTCAGCACTATAAGTAGCAGGCTCATTAATCCCAGGAAGACAATAGCTCATCTTCATCCACTCTGCAAGGGCATATTGAGCACCTGCAGTGTACCTGGCACAACATATAAACAAGGATAAGTCATAGTCCTTGCCATCAAGGAACTTACACTCTAGTAGAGAGGAGCATTAAAAAAAAAAAGCAACAAACAGCATGTTATCTAACACTTCTGTAAAGGGTCAGCGGGGACATTCAGGAGGGCATGGATGATTCAGCTCTGCAGGGCTAAGGAGGTGGGAAGGCTTTCACGAAGAGGCCAGGCTCCAGCTGACTCCTGGGAGATCTAAGAGTGTTCCTTAGCTAGACAGGCTTGTGTGGGAAGGGGAAGGAAAGAGATTGTTTCTGGCAGAGGGAGTGGTATGAGCAAGATACTGAGGTGAAATTGCCTGGCGTTTAGGCATGGCAGCACACCCAGAGGGTGCAGGGTGAAGGGGGCTGGTGGTGGAGCTGAAAGGTGATTTTGGAGAGATAGACAGAAATCCACTTGGCAGTGTCCTTTTCTCTGGTATTCTTAGAAGGGTTCTAAGCAGGGGGTAAAGTGATCATATTTGTGCTTTAGAAGGACTACTTTGTTCAACCAAATGAACTTGAACTTTATGCAGATGGTTGAAGGAAGGCAAGATTGGTGGTAAGGAAACCAAAGAAAGGGCAATTCTAGTAGCTAAGACAAAATAGGAGGACCTGACCCTAGGCAGCAGCTATGGAGATGAGAAAGAAAAATAGATTCAAAAGATTTTAAAGAGGTAAAAACTGTAAGACTGATGGAATGTGGGAAATGAGGAGGAAATTGGGAGAGGCCCATATATTTCCAGTATAATCTAACTTGGGTGACTGGCTGCTTGGTGGCTTCATTCAGCAGATTAGCAAGAGCCAGTCTGGGAGAAAGATAATGATCTCTCCATTGGGGATTGTGAGTTTGAAGGGCCTCCTGTAGGTACCTGGAGACATAGAGATATGGCTTTGGAAGTCAGTAGCTTGTCATAGTTGTTCAAACAGATCAGGGGTATGTGATAATTCTGGAAGTACAACAACACTGTCAGGAAACGGGACAGAGAAGGAACTGTCTGAGAAATAGGAAAACAACCTGGAAAAAATAGAATCATGAAAACCAGGGAAGAAGAGGGTTTCAAGAGATCAGTAGTTTCTAATGTGGAGAAGGAGACAAGTAAGCTGAGGAACAAAGAATGTCTACGATTTGATAACTTGAAGCCCAGTGGTGACATTTACTCAAGCAGGTTCAATGGAAGATGAGGTAGTGGTCTAACTTCAGGGGCCAAAAAATGAATGGGAGGTGAAGGCTTAGAAAGTCTGCCATCTATTCTTTAAATGAACTTGACTGTGATGGGAGGAGGATGGGTTGGGATTTACTTCAGAATGATAGAACAGGTTCCCTGAACAGATCTGCTGCTAAAGAAACAACTCAAAATGCTCAGTAATCTAGCAAGAAAGTGAATACTCAAGACAAAAACTAAGGAACGGAGAGAGGAAAATAGAGTGCCAAAGCTGGCTTTCACCTTGAGAACTTGAACTTTGGTGTTCTGAAGGTGAGCAGGATACAGGGGACCAAAGACAAAGCCCAGGCCTGCCCATGGTAGGGAAATCTACTAAATCATCCTCTGCTCAAAGTTGAGAACCACAAGGGGTAATAACACACTAAGTTGAAGGATGAACTAGAAATAATTCACTCCTCCAGGAGACTTCCAGGAAATTTGCCTGACTTGAACCTTGACTATGAAAAACCTATACACTACTTAGATTCAAGTGGGCCTGGGCTGGTAGTACCCCCTGGTAGTAACTGGAAGGAAGAAGAGGATATCACGTCTAGAGGAACCCACCTTCAACTTAGGCTACAAGGAATTCTCACAGACAAAATTCCAAAAAATATAAACTATATAGTCAAAAATCCAAAAACAATTTAACAAGGCTAAGAGAAAAATAAGAGTCAACCCAGAAGTGTATACTCATAGAAAATGTCTTTCAAAAATGAGATCTAAAAAAAATATATATATAAGTTATATATTAATTTATGCATACTTTATTAATTGTCAGATATTCACTAATAGAAGAGAAACAGACTATATAACTTCCAGGTTAAGAGAAGGAAGAAAATAGAATGAGAAAATATAATTGATCTAAAAGGAGGCAAGAAAGGGGGAGCGGGGAAAGGATAGTATTAAGGTGGGATAAATAAAAAGCACAAAATAAGATGGTGAAAATAAATTAAAATACATCTGGGATTACAATAAATATGAATGGGCTAAATAATCCAAATTAAAAATATGGATTTCTAGATTAGAAAAGAGAAAGAGAGAAAAGGGGATTTCCAGAGGATAGACAAAAGTCACAGTAGTGTTTGCTGTATTTTGTTGCTTTAATAAGAAGGGAGAGATTGCAACTTAGGCTGCAATAAAGGAGCCAGGAGGAGTTCAAGTATACAAGAAGAAGAAAAAATAAGTGATGGAGCCAGAACCCAGGGTGGACGGGGAGCACAAGATGAAGACCCAGAGGTACAGGGGATAGCCTTGACCTGAAAGAAAATATTCCTTTCC